CAGTTGGCTTACACTCAAAGAGACCAAAAAGCAGGAAGCAGGCCAACCAGTTAAGGTGGTCGGCCGGCCAGTCCCCCTGGTCGGCCAACCAGGGGTCAAAAGGTTCAAGGAGAAATGCTGGCTGGCCACCCCAGAAAGGTGGCCTCCCAGATGAGTGCAACACAGCTGTATGGTAGAAAACTAGAAAATGTGACCTAGGAGAGAGAAAAACCAGCTTTTTAGCAAGGTTCAAAAGGGTCAAGAAGAATTACTGGTCGGCCTACCCATATTGGTGGCCTCCCAGATGAGCACAACACAATGGTGGTATGAAAAACCAGAAATTATGGCTCAAAAGTGAAAAAAACTAGCTTTCTGTCAGAAAAATCGACTTTAGGAGAGAGAAAAAGAGAAAACTGGTTTCCAAGGGAAAAAGGTGGCCTCCCACCATACTACCACCTCCCTAACAATGAAAAAAGGGTCCCTACCAAAAATGGACCAAGACGGATGCAAAACGAGAGTTTGGGGGACAAAACGCGCAGTCCGAGGCCCCGAAAACAAGCTGTTAGGCACCGGAAGTGGCGTATGACCACAAAGGTGGTCTCCCGGGCCACAGTGTCCCTCTAAATGGAGGAAATAAGGTGTGTGCTAAAAACCAGAGCAAACGGAAGTAATTAAGAGGTCCCGAACTGAGGCACACGGTCGACAGCTCCGAAAATCGAAAACTGGGCTCCAAATGGGAAAAATGGCCTACGACCACGAAACGTAGCCTACGGCCACTGAGAGATGGTCTACGAGACCTCTCCTTCCCTTCGGGAAGAGAAAACAGAGAAAACAAGACCCGATTCGCAAACTGAGGCAAAGCACAAAAGAGCCCCGAAGTTTGGTAGGCAAGGCTCGAAGTCGAGATTCTGCAACTTCAGAACGAGCACAATATGCATCATCACCGAGCGCTCAATTGGTGACGTCTGAGTCTTAAAGTCGGTCAAAAATGGGGTGTCTACACTCGGTAGCATTCCAGTAAGACCGAGTTCCAGACCGGTTAAGCCGGTATTCTGAAGACCTTCCCTGCTGAGCTAAATGTGCGAACCACGATACCTGGGTTAGCATACAATCATCTCGGCCAAATTAGCTCGGCCCAAACATGGGACTTGATGCCTCAACCGAGCAAGACCAACTCTTGGAGAAGCCCAAGTTAGCTCGGCCTAAAACATGCGACCTGGGCCTCAACCGAGCAACACCGACTCTGGACAGGCCCAAGTTAGCTCGGCCTTTTTTCTGCTCGACATCTACCACGGCCCAAAATCCAGATTATAAATCTCCCTCTCACACCGTATATTCTTATTTATATATTTTTTAAAAACTTTCTACATATATTTTTTTATTTTTTGTAGGCAAAGGAAAAGGAAATTGCCAAGGCATTGTTGAAGAAAAACGAAAAGACCACCGTTTCGGGCAAGGGAAAGGAAAATGCATGTTCAGTAGTATGGTTCTTCAACATTTCCATTTAAAGTTCTTTTTTTGAAATATTTATTTTGGACCATGAACCTCGATTATTTATTTATTTATTTATTTTTAAATGTAAAATTGACATACTACTTGCACAGTGACATATACTATTTTTATAGTAAACTGTTTCATGTAAATTTGTGAAATGTTTTTTTTTTTGTAATAACTACATTTTCGCTTAAAATAACATCGGCCTGAACCACCAGATCTACTGGATGTTGTCCACGGCGACTAAAATTTAATTTTTTTCTAGGAGTATATGGACGCTGTTGGGAAAATTGGAACGTAGTCGCCATAATCGATGGTGAAACTCCGACTATTAAATGCATCACATCGATTTTATTTTATAGGCGTAATATGTTGACCGTGACACAGGTCAAGGTTAACAGTTATTAATTTGTAAAATAGTCGAAATAGTATACGTTAAAAATCGTATACGTGTATAACGTACGGCACGGAATAATTTTACGACCCATAATAACATATGGCAATGGATGCAAAAAGGAGACAACTGGTGGGCCATACATATGAACCCACCACTTGAATTCAAATTTCCCGCTTGCGCTCGCCTTTTTAGATCTTTTAATCCTGGCCGCAGATCGGGGAGCGAAGCGGAGCCTTGTAGTCGACAACACAGCACCGAATGCGGAATGGAGAACCAATCAGGGGACGACACGTGTTGTGGGGAGAGCGTCCCAGTAATATTATAGGGACGCTCCCGGGATCATATATAACTCACTCCCTCACTCTCTTCTACCAGTAATGTTTTTAGAGAGTGACTTGCGTCATTTGAGAGAGTGAGTGACATCATTGAGAGTGAGTTATGGCCTCAATGCGACGTTGTTTTAGATTAATTATTCTCCCAACTCTATGCACTTAACCTTTATATATCGATATGAATTATACATTCCGCATTCATAAACGAATTTTGTGTTTGACAATTTAGATAGGCCGCTGCGCTAACAACATTATGTTAGAGGAGATCAACCCCGTCGGATTGGGAGATGAGCTCCATGAGAATGAAGAAGGTGAATTG